CATCCGTAGAATACGACGAGGCGTTTCTAAAAATAGTCGAAATAACACAGAAAAATGAGTCTCAAGAAGATATTGAAAGGGTTCGTAAAGGCACCAAGTTAGGCCCCAGTCTTCAGCGCTTGAATCCCTTCATCCATGAAGAGGCTGGGACATGGTGCTCTTTTTCGTTGTTGCGAGTTGGGGGGCGACTAGTTAACGCTCCTATGTCATATAATGCCAAGTTTCCTTTGTTATTGACAAAACGCTCGCAGTTTGTGCAGACATACGTTCGCTATCTGCATCAAACGAATTTTCATGCCGGCCCACGAGCACTCGTGAGTATCCTTAGACAGCGCATTTGGATAGTGAATGCTCAGGCGGTCTGCAGGTCGTGTATTCGTTGCTTTAAATGCAAGCCGCTACTCCAGACCCAAATGATGGGCAACTTACCCGCAGACCGGCTCCGTGCTCTCCGCCCATTTTCAGTATGTGGCGTTGATTTTTGTGGCCCAGTCTATACGACTCTGAAAATTCGTGGAAGGCCCCCTTATAAGTCCTACATAGCGTTATTTGTCTGTTTTGCGTCCAAGGCGGTTCATTTAGAAATTGTCTCCGATTTGACGACTAATTCCTTCTTGTTGGCATTCCAAAGGTTCGTCGGTCGTCGAGGATGTCCGCAACGCGTGAACTGCGACAACGCGACAAATTTCGTCGGAGCAAGTCGCCACTTCAGCGAACTGCGGAGGAAGATCGAGGCGGAAGCGGACGCGATACGCGAATTTGCGTCAAGAAGCGGGTGCGAGTTTGCCTTCATACCGCCTCGAGCACCGCACATGGGCGGACTTTGGGAGGCCGGTGTGAAGTCTGCCAAGGGCCTACTCCTACGGGCAGTCGGAAGCGCTCTCCTCACCGCAGAGGAGCTGGAGACCGTGCTGGTCGGGATCGAGGCGGTACTCAACTCGCGCCCGCTAGGACCCCTAAGCCCAGACCCAAGCGACGGAGACGCGCTGACTCCCGGGCACCTGCTGACAGGCGGGCCGCTCATCGCACCCCCAGCACCCAGGACCCCGGACCAGGAGGGTCTGAGCTGCTTAAAGCGATGGCGGCTTGTCTCGTCAGCCAGGCAAATGTTCTGGCAGCGATGGTCCCGGGAGTATGTGCTGGGATTACAAATCAGATGCAAGTGGCACCAGGAGGAGCCAAACATAAAGGAAGGCGACCTAGTAATCGTCGCCGAGGACAACCTGCCCCCTCAACAGTGGCTCCTCGGAAGGGTGGTCGGAACAACCGCCGGGCAGGACGGAAGGGTCAGAGTGGTCGAGCTAAGGACGAGCAGCGGAGCCACGTTCAGGAGGCCGATACACAAATTGGCGCTTCTGCCAATGGTTTGAAGCCTTCCAGGCCTTCAACGGGGCCGGTGTAGCGCCATTTGAATTATAATAATTGTTATTAGGATAGTATTTCATGAAGTCTAGTGTAAGTTAGGCTAGGGCAAAGCGGGAGCGCAATAAAAGCTCGCTCTCTCGCTCTTGGCGAATTCGCCCCGCTTTGCCACCGTAGGTAAGGTAGGCTTAGAAGAAATTGTTTTAATATATGCAAAGAAGTCGAGAAAAACCCCTGAAATCGAACGCACGCACCCCTTTTCTTTTCGTCGTAATAAAATAAAAAAAAAATTGCAGTCACCCAAAATTTCGGTATTGTTATTTAGAAAAACTATTCTAAAATTTCAAACCCAAAAGGGTTCGCTACAACGCCTCTCCCAACGCCCTATAAAAACCCGGCTACTAAATTACCACACCTCGCCCAAAGTGATTTACTACGCGAACACCCCCCTCCACACATAGCCGCCGATTGACTGGCGCCGTCTTCGTAACGCTGACCCAACACCAGGTCACGCTGACTTCCACCACTCCAGACCAAGCAACGGGCCAAGCGCAGTCTTCCGGGTTCATCGGCTACAAAACGATGACACCGCGGAAGCCCACGACGAGCCCCCAACGGCAAACCCGCCGGCTCGCCAAAAACCTAATGGCCTAATGGTTCCGACTGGCATAGTACAGTCCCGATTCCCCTGCTACTCGTTTTTATACCCGATACTCAAAATGAGTATTGGGGTATATTAGATTTGTGGTAAAAGTGGATGTTTGTAACGTCCAGAAGGAATCGTTTCCGACCCCATAAAGTATACATATATATTCTTGATCAGCATCAATAGCCGAGTCGATTGAGCCATGTCTGTCTGTCCGTCTGTCCGTCCGTCCGTCTGTCCGTATGTCCGTCCCCTTCAGCGCCTAATGCTCAAAGACTATAAGAGCTAGAGCAACGATGTTTTGGATCCAGACTTCTGTGATATGTCACTGCTACAAAAATATTTCAAAACTTTGCCCCGCCCACTTCCGCTCCCACAAAGAGCGAAAATCTGTAGCATCCGCAATTTTAAAGATACGAGAAAACCAAAAACGCAGAATCGTAGAGAATGACGATATCTTTTAGATTACGGAATCTGAATTGGATCGTATTGTTATTATAGCCAGCATCAAGAAAACAATTTCATTTTTTCTCGCCCTGTCTCTCTCTAATACACACGTAGCATAGGCGGCTTTGCTTAGAGTAAAACATTAGCGCCTAGATCTCAGAGACTATAAAAGCTAGAGCTACCAAATTTGGTATCCACACTCCTAATATATCGGACCGAGACGAGTTTGTTTCAAAATTTCGCCACACCCCCTTCCGCCCCCGCAAAGGATGCAAGTCTGGGGATATTCACAAATCTCAGAGACTATTAAAGCTAGAGTAACCAAATTTAGTATCCGCACTCCTGTTAGATCTCACTATAAAACGTATATCTCAAAATTTCGCCCCACCCCCTTCCGCCCCCACAAAGGACGAAAATCTGTTGCATCCACAATATTGCAGATTTGAGAAAACTAAAAACGCAGAATCATAGATAATGACCATATCTATCAGATTGCTGAATCTGGATCAGATCAGATAATTTTTGTAGCCAAAAGGAACAAATCAATTTGCATTGGCTACGCAGCGCCCGACGTCACGCTCAGACTGATTTTCTGTCTCTCTCGCACGCACTCTTTGTCGTGTCGTTTAATATTAGCGGCGCTGCCGGAGGAGAGCCATACTGACTTAGTATCGGGTATAACTGTAGAGTTGCGGTGTCCGCAGCAACTCACAACGTTCCCCCTCGTTATACCCGATACTCAAAATGAGTATTGGGGTATATTAGATTTGTGGTAAAAGTGGATGTGTGTAACGTTCAGAAGGAATCGTTTCCGACCCCATAAAGTATATATATTCTTGATCAGCATCAATAGCCGAGTCGATTGAGCCATGTCTGTCTGTCCGTCCGTCCGTCTTTCCGTCCGTCCGTCTGTCCGTCCCCTTCAGCGCCTAATGCTCAAAGACTATAAGAGCTAGAGCAACGATGTTTTGGATCCAAACTTCTGTGATATGTCACTGCTACAAAAATATTTCAAATCTTTGCCCCGCCCACTTCCGCCCCCACAAAGGACGAAAATCTGTGGCATCAACAATTTTGACGATACGAAAAAACTAAAACCGCAGAATCGTAGAAGATGACCATATCTTCTAGAGTGCAAAATCTGAACCAGATCGTATAATTATTATAGCCAGAATCAAGAAAATAATTTCACTCTTTCTCGCTCTGTCTCTCTCTAACACACAGGTTTCATGGTCGGTTTTGCCAATTGCAAAATATGAGTTCAAGGATCTCAGAACCTATAAAAGCCAGGAGCAACCAAATTTGGTATCCACACTCCTGTGATATCGGACCTTGACCGTTTTCCTGTCCAAATTTCGCCACACCCCCTTCCGCCCCCGCAAAGGACGAAAATCTGAGGCAACCACAAATCTCAGAGACTATTAAGGCTAGAGTAACCAAATTTGGTATCACACACTCCTTTAAGATGTCACTATAAAACGTATATCTCAGAATTTCGCCCCACCCCCTTCCGCCCCCACAAAGGACGAAAATCTGTTGCATCCACAATATTGCAGATTTGAGAAAACTAAAAACGCAGAATCATAGATAATGACCATATCTATTAGATTGCTGAATCTGGATCAGATCAGATCAGATCATTTTTATAGCCAAAAGAAACAAATCAATTTGCAGTGGCTACGCAGCGCCCGACGTCACGCTCAGACTGATTTTCTGTCTCTCTCGCACGCACTCTTTGTCGTGTCGTTAAATATTAGCGGCGTCTGCCGGAGGAGAGCCATACTGACTTAGTATCGGGTATAACCTTAGAGTTGCGGTGTCCGCAGCAACTCACAACGTTCCCCCTCGTTTTTTTTTATACCCGATACTCAAAATGAGTATTGGGGTATATTAGATTTGTGGTAAAAGTGTATGTGTGTAACGTCCAGAAGGAATCGTTTCCGACCCCATAAAGTATATATATTCTTGATCAGCATCAATAGCCGAGTCGATTGAGCCACGTCTGTCTGTCCGTCCGTCCGTCTGTCCGTCTGTCCGTCTGTCCGTCCCCTTCAGCGCCTAATGCTCAAAGACTATAAGAGCTAGAGCAACGATGTTTTGGATCCAGACTTCTGTGATATGTCACTGCTCCAAAAATATTTCAAAACTTTGCCCCGCCCACTTCCGCCCCCACAAAGGCGAAAATCTGTGGCATCCACAATTTCGACGATACGAGAAAACTAAAAACGCAGAATCGTAGAAGATGACTATATCTTCTAGAGTGCAGAATCTGAATTGGATCGTATTATTATTATAGCCAGCATCAAGAAAACAATTTCATTTTTTCTCCGCCCTGTCTCTCTCTAACCCTGTCTCCGACCCCCGTAGCAATTATTAGTTCGACAGTGTCCCGTGAGTGCTATCCGGCGATTGCCTAGGCACCCTCGGCGATGCTTGTCGATATCCCCGATCCCCGTAGCAATTCTTAGTTCGAAAGTGTCCCGTGAGTACTATCCGGCGATTGCCTAGGTGCCCCGGCCCCGTAATAATTCTTAGTTCGACAGTGTCCCGTGAGTGCTATCCGGTGATTACCGGAAGCATTACATTTAGAAGGTGTACGAGATGGATGGGCATGCATTCATGTGTTGTGTTCATGATCGACAGATCTAGCAGAGGAACTCCCGCAAGTGTCCCAGAGAGGGCAGATAGGTGTCTGGGATCATGTCCACTTTGCTGTGTCCTTCGTCATTGCAAATCTGGCGCACCTCTTTCAAGATGCTGACGCCGGTGCCCACGAAAAGCGATTGGAAGCCGCAGTTGCTGGCGAACAGAATGTCCGTGTAGAGACTGGAATAGGCGGGTGAGGTAAGAGCAGGTGGGGCAGGAGGACGGACCACTTACGTGTCGCCAACCATCAGCGTGGACTCCCGCTTGAGGACGCCGCATTGCAGCAGCTGCTCCACCATCAGGGGATTCGGCTTGCCCAAAATCAGCGGCATTCGGCCAGTGATGGCCTTCACGGCGGCCTACCATGGCACCGGCGCCCACAATCATCCGGTTTTTGCCCACCGGATAGGCGGTGTCCAGACAGGTGCCCAGGAAGAGGACCTTCGGCTGCTGGAGGTACGAACTGGCCCTGATTATCTTCGGCACATTGAAGCTCTCATCCTTGCCGATTATCACGGCGCCCACCTCGTGATCCAGGTACATATCCTTGGCAAACTGTTCCATGGGCTTGAGCAGCTTCTCCTTGCCCACAGAGAAGCTGCAGATGTTCTCCTTGGCCAGCTCATCGACAATGGCCGACTCCCCGACGATGTACGCCTTCTTTTTGAACCCCTTCGCGCTGAGGAACCTGGCCACGGACAGCGCCGAGCTCAGTATCTGCTCTTCCTGGATCTCGTAGCCGAACTGGTGCGCCTTCGCGGCCAGATCCTTGGTGAGCAGACCCGAATGGTTGGTCGCCACCAGCACCTGCCTGCCCGAGCTCTTGATCATATTAAAGGTCTCCACTGCCCCATTGATCGGCCGGTTCAGGTGCCACAGAACACCGTCGGCATCGAATATCACCGATTCGATTGTGGTCAGCCACTGGCGCACCTTCTCCTTGGGTATTTTGGTCAGATCCGTGCAGGTACGCTTGAACATGGCTCAGCACGGGACTACAACTGCTCGTAGGTGATATTTTGAAACAACAATAAAACAGTCAAACCACAATTGACATTCCACACAGCCAGTACTAGATTGTGAGTTTTCTCAGAAACCAAGATCTCAGATCCAATCAAAAAGCACTGTTTGAACAGAGCAAGCCCAGCACCGAGAAATAATAGGTACACATCGTATTAACCGCTCTCAGGACCCTTCTCGGGATCCCCCCTAAAGGGCGCGCCAGTGCCACATAAATTTAATTATCAATCAATTATACATTCCCCCCACAGCGAGGGGTATCAAAAGTACTGCCGTAAGAGCGTGGTGTCTATCTGTCTGTCTAAAGTAATGAATGTAGTCTAAGGGGTAAGGTGTAAGGGGTAAGGTGTCAGGTGTAGGGGCCTTAATAGTTTCGGGAGGGTATGAATGGCAGCAAGTCCGAGAGCCTGTGCAGATACAGGTCTGGTATCTGCTGGTACGCAAAGGCCTGCTTAGAGGCCAGGGCATGGCGGACATCCTGGAGACTGCTGACGCCAGTGCCCACCAGTAGAGTGTGAAAGCCGCAGTTGTAGCCGAACTGCATATCCGTGTACATGCTGGGCGGGGGGGGGGGAAAGGCATGAAAGTAAGCGAAAATACCATATAGGAGTGAGAAACTCACGTGTCGCCCACCAGCAGGGTGCGTTCCGGCTCGATGACACCCTGACGTATCAGATGGGAGCAGACATAGGGACTGGGCTTGCCGCAGGTGAACGGGGCCCGCTTCGCCACCGCCTGTATGGCAGCCACCACGACTCCCGCCCCGGGCACTTGACGGTCGGCAGCCACTGGAAAGGCGCGATCGCGATTGGTGGCCAAAAAGAGGGTCTTTGGGTCCCGGAGGTATATGCTGGCCTTGGTCAGCTTCAGCACATTGAGGCCCAAGTCCATGCCGACGGCCACGGCGCCCACATTCGCATCTAAGTACATTTTTTGCACCTGGTCCACCATGGAGTTCTCCTGCGTGGAGGCCAAGTCCAGCGGCAGACTCTCGATCCCGACCTGCCGCAGCTCGTCCTTGATGCCCTGGCCACCCACGATGTAGACCTTGCGATTGAACTTCCGCTCTCGCATATAGCGGGCCAGAGCCTGCGCCGAGGAGAGGATCTCGTTCTCGGCTATCAGGAAGCCCATGCTGTCTGCCTTCTTGCTCAGGGCCCGGCACGAGGCCTCCGAGTTGTTGGTGCAGATGAACGAATTCTTGCCCATCGCCCGCAGGGCATTGAACGTATCGGCAGCTCCCGTGAGTGCCTGATCGTGGCGCCACAGCACCCCATCCGCGGCGTAGACGATCGTGTCGAAGGTCTTCAGCAGTTGGCGGACATTATATATGTTTGGTTCCAGCACCTGGCAGCCGCCCATCCGCAGCACTCGCCGCGACAAAACGAAATTCATTCTCAGTCCGTATCCGAATCAATGTGGGCTGATGATCGACTAAGTATCCTCTAAACTCAGGGCATACTATGGCTTGAAATCTCCCCTGAAATCTTGCACTCTGCTTGTGGCTGCTAAAATCAATGGAAAGTTTGTCCCGGGACCCCGTGACCTTTGAGCTGTCGCCGACCACTCCCCGGGACCGTCACGGGCTGCCATTCTCCGATGCACTTAATTCACTAAACTTTTGCTCATTTTGCTACTTTTGGCCAAGACCGGAATGGACCCTGGCTGTGGTTCGGCTTGGGTTTGGGCTGGGGTTTGGGCTTGGGTGCGGGTCCGGGTCCGGGGGCAAACATCGCGGACAACTTTTAATTGTGCGCAACGACTGAAGGCCAAACGGAGCATCCCCCTCCCCCGTACCCAGTCCTGGGGGAGCCAGTTCTCTGCCAAGGATTCGCGCCTTTTCGACCAGCAGCCAACGCCCCGATGCGCCAATTAAAATGGCATTCAGGCTTTATTGTTGACAGGTCCTGTCTCCTACGAGCGACCAAATCCGACACTTGTCCACTGCCCAGCGCCCAGAGACAGGGACAGAGGGAGAGAGAGACATTCCCTCGCACCTTGACATAAATTCATTAAATCTTGTCCGGGCTTTCAAATCTGCCGCAGTTTAACGGATCTCTGTTGAATGGCCCCCGGTCAAATGGCGGCTCACGGCTCTTAAAATAGAGGGCGAAAAATCGACGCAAATTGGCCAACAACCGGGGGGGAGCAGAGCTCGAGACCGTGCCGGGGATAAGCCGCTGCCTCCGGGACGCGACTTTCGAAATTTCCGCCCGCCCCGCGATATGATAATTTGCGTGAGAGGAAAAACGAAAGATTGGGGATATTTTTGAAGCCCCCAGTACATGATTTTCTCGCTCAGGGGAAAAGGAAACACTCACATGTCAATAAAGTATTTACTTAGACCCACGCAGACTCAAACGTCCCATCGAACATAAAAAATACAAAAATTTGCTGAATAACACATCATTAAAATTTGTATATAAACCTAATCACTAAACTCTTAAAATATGTAGTAAGCCAATGTAAATATCACTAATATTAGATCATAGTTTAAGTAAAGCTGATTTGTAATAAAAAAAAAATAAAAAAAAAAATTACTTAGATTTAAATCTATTAAAAATCTATTAAATTTGTAAGAATATATTTACGAGTGTGTCGAATATTTTCAGATTAATTTTACTACAATTTCCATAGTCGGTATCTCAGGGCCTCGCCAATTAATTGCAGCCCAAAAGGAAATCCTCCTTGAAAGTTTTGTCGCCTGTGAAATATATCTAAGCACCTTCTGTCTCTTTACGTAAGGTTTGAGTGTGTGTGGATTTGCAGCATAACTCAATTTCCTCAAGTGGAAAGCGCTTTACATTTTTCCCAGTTTTCGCAGTTTACCCAACACTAGATGGGGCCCACTGATGGATGGCTTGGGGCGGAAGTAGAAGCAGAAGCAGAAGCAGAAGCAGAGGCAAGTGGCAAATCCACATGGAATGCATTCTCCATTCTCTCTGCAAACAATACAAGAGCGGAGCGGAACAACAAACGAGCAAATTCCACTCGACTAGGTATCGAGAGGCAATAGTATCCAAATGGAATTTTAAGCACAAAGTTTGACCAAACTTTTTTCGGAACCCAGAAAAAAGCAGAAAGCGAACCAAGAACCGAGCACCGAGAAACGGAAACTTTTTTATTAAGTTTACAAGAAAAAGTTAATTTCTTGGGCCTCCCTCGGAGTTCAGTGGGGGCCCTGGGGCTGTTGTTTTTTCCCTAATTAATACCTCGAGACGAAGGCTGAAATCCACTTGATTTATATGCTAATCAGTGGCCGGTCGCCGCAATCCACTCTGCCTGGGGGGAGGGGCACTAGTGCCGGCTCGAGCTCGGGGCATCGACAGTCGCTTAAATCATGTTACGGGTTTTTTCTCTCTTCCGAATGGTGGCCCCCTATCTGGTGGCATGGTGACAACAGTGGCCAACTTTAAATTATCCGATATCTGCGTATAAATCATCCGAAGATAGCATCATCAGCTGGGTTCACAAGGCGCAATTATTTGCGGAAAATGTATTGCCTCCCTGCCGTTTCCTTTGCGTTTTGTCTGTCGCCGGACACCCTAGTTGGCCGACTACGTTGCCGTTTCCCCGAGATACCCTCGATAAGCCCCTGTCTCCAGTAGGTATAATCTCTACGGCGGCTGACTGATGGGCATTCTGCTGCCAGGGGGGGGGGGGGGACTTTCGAGTTGCATTTCACAAGCTTGACACAATTGAAACGTTTTTGTTGTTTCATGAAGCACAAACAATACATACCCCACGACTCCTCACACCCCTTCCCGAATGCTAAACATCTAAGCTGTATTTCTAAGGATTTTACCACAAGCACGGACATGACACAACGATTAATAGCTTAACCTGGCCAGGACTCTTCGATTTTGGAGTGGTTATGCAAGCCACAGGAATTCTCCTCGGCCAGGCCTTAAAGAGTCCCTTAAGGGCAAGGCTATGGCCATATGTGCCATGTCCTGTGCTCTTTAAAATACTCAATGTTTCAGCAATGAGTGCACCTTGGTCAGCCGCATGAAATTTAAATTCCGAATACAAGCTCAACGGAGTGAGTCCCTTCCGGCCTTGGCCCCCCCGCTCGGCCACGCTCGCAGGCCCCGCTTCCGGCTCACACTGCGTATGAGCAATGCCACAGCAGTAGCTGTAGGGGGGGCGGCCTTGGGGGCAATAAGGGAGTTTTGTTCTGTTGTTGTTTCTGCGGTTAGAGTTTCAATGTGCGTACATTAAACCAAATTATAGCACATTATAATTTGTGTCTGCAAATGTCCCCCAAAAACTCATTCGAGAGATGCCAGATCTGACGGCAGACAAGCATGAATATTGGCTGGGGGACACTGTATACTTTTATGCAGTGCCCCCAAGGCTGGGCTGAATATACGGCCACATGGCAGTTGAATAAATAAACGATTTGCATATCCACACCAAAGGCGAGAGGCGATTGTGGCAAGGCTACTGCCTGTGTCGACTCGCCTGTGATTGTTCGACTAGAAGTCCAGGCGAAGCGCCTAAGCTGTGCCCATAAACATTGGGCCCTTGCGGAGGACATTCATGGTGCAAGATTCAAAGTATTTATCCGCCCTCCGTTCAGACAGGGTATCCTCTTCCAGGCATGTCCTGTCGCCGACCCTTCTCAACCGACTGACTTTTGCTCAGAGATGCAGCAGACAGCTTGCAGCCTTGCCGCTCCCCGGCAAAACTTAAATATTTCATAAAAACTCCCCTGCAAGGACTTGCCACGGGCCTGCATTTCAGTTAAACAAATAGCCACACACATGTATCACATATTTCGAGAATATTTAAAGCAACGTCAATCATTGTAATTTATAACTTAAGCGAAAACGTAACCAAACCAAAACCAAAGCCAAAGCCAAAACCAAACTCAAGCCATTATTTCCACTTTGTGCCATCAATGCCGCCGGGTGTTCTGGCTGTTCTGGCTGTTCTGCTGCTCTTTTTCCCCTCCAATTGTTTGCTGTGTGTGGCAGCCACTTTTTGTTGCACATTTGCATTTGTGTCCCGCTGACCAGAGCCCGGTGTCCGATGTCCGGTGTCCGGCGGCAGCCGCCACAAACTGCTGCTCGTTTCATAAATCATCTTACACCCATACCCACCCACACACACACGCCCATCCACCCATCCACCCATCCACGCACACACGCATACACGCGCTCCTTGATTTACAGGCCCACAAAATGCTTCAGCTTGTGCTGTTGTTGTCCTCCAGGAGGGCGACGAGAATATCAATTTCACATTTAATATGCAACACCAGATGGGGGCAGCGCCAGGAAATTATAAGAAATCAATTACCAAAGCCCTTGACCCACTAAAAAACAGCAGAGCAGCCAATAAATAACCCAAGTCTTGAAAAAAAACACACTAAAATTTCTAGAAATATAACCCCATAAAAGGTTATACAAATCTCTATCCAATCCTTACATTTTTGTGGATATTGGCTCTTCAGAAAGGGCTCAAGGAAAGAAAGAATGGACCTACCACCATCAGAGACACAGCCGTGGCAAATCCTGTCTCCCCAGGACGCATCCTTCCTTCCATTTCGATCTCCTATTGATAGTCATTTCGACTGATTTCCAGGCTTCAATCCTCGTCGATCATCGTTGAGTGTAGCCCTCGCAGAAGCCAGCGCGATAAATGCTTAGCCCTTGGCAACACAGCAGCAGGGGGGAAAGGATAGAGGAGCTGGATGTGGAGCTGGCCAAACACGAGTACCCTCACTCCTACGCCCCAGCTTAATCAGCAGGCCACTTTCTGACCCAATTCCGCCTTTGTATGAGCCCCGAAACTCAGAGCCCAAAGACAAACCCCACCATAGATGACAATTTAATAAAGCAAATGGTGCGCGCGGTTGGCGCTTGTTTGGGGGCGGAGTGGGAGGGGGGGGGGGGGGGGGGGGGGGGGAGTTTCTTTGCCATTTGGATTAAGCCATGCCCAAGACTGCGGCAGCGACCATGAGTTCTACGGCACAGCCCCATCGTTAATCAATTAAGTTGGCGTTTTTATATGATTGCTTTCAGGGCTACATGTATACTATATGTATGTATGTGTGTATATGTGTACTTAAGTAGTTATATATATATAGATTCGATTCCCGCACAAACGATGCCCCGCCACGCGCAAATATAATTAATGATCAAGTGTCAACCGAAACATTTCCGACCCCATAAAGTATATATATTCTTGATCAGCATCAATAGCCGAGTCGATTGAGCCATAACTGTCTGTCCGTCTGTCCGTCTGTCCGTCCGTCCGTCTGTCCGTCCACAATATTGCAAAATCGAGTAAACTAAAAACGCAGAATCATAGACAATGACCATATCTATCCGGTTGCCGAATCTGGATCAGATCGGATCATTTTTGTAGCCAAAAGCAAGAAATCAATTTTTAGTGGCTACGCAGCGCCCGACGTCACGCTCAGACTGATTTTCTGTCTCTCTCGCACGCACTCTTTGTCGTGTCGTTTAATATTAGCGGCGTCTACCGGAGGAGAGCCATACTGACTTAGTATACAAATCAGCTTTACTTAAACTATGATCTAATATTAGTGATATTTACATTGGCGTACTACATATTTTAAGAGTTTAGTGATTAGGTTTATATACAAATTTTAATGATGTGTTATTCAGCAAATTTTTGTATTTTTTATGTTCGATGGGACGTTTGAGTCTGCGTGGGTCTAAGTAAATACTTTATTGACATGTGAGTGTTTCCTTTTCCCCTGAGCGAGAAAATCATGTACTGGGGGCTTCAAAAATATCCCCAATCTTTCGTTTTTCCTCTCACGCAAATTATCATATCGCGGTGCGGGCGGAAATTTCGAAAGTCGCGTTTCCTGGCTTTTTGCCTTGGCCCGGAGGCAGCGGCTTATCCCCGGCACGGTCTCGAGCTCTGCTCCCCCCCGGTTGTTGGCCAATTTGCGTCGATTTTCGCCCTCTATTTTAAGAGCCGTGAGCCGCCATTTGACCGGGGGCCATTCAACAGAGATCCGTTAAACTGCGGCAGATTTGAAAGCCCGGACAAGATTTAATGAATTTATGTCAAGGTGCGAGGGAATGTCTCTCTCTCCCTCTGTCCCTGTCTCTGGGCGCTGGGCAGTGGACAGGTGTCGGATTTGGTCGCTCGTAGGAGACAGGACCTGTCAACAATAAAGCCTGAATGCCATTTTAATTGGCGCATCGGGGCGTTGGCTGCTGGTCGAAAAGGCGCGAATCCTTGGCAGAGAACTGGCTCCCCCAGGACTGGGTACGGGGGAGGGGGATGCTCCGTTTGTCCTTCAGTCGTTGCGCACAATTAAAAGTTGTCCGCGATGTTTGCCCCCGGACCCGGACCCGCACCCAAGCCCAAACCCCAGCCCAAACCCAAGCCGAACCACAGCCAGGGTCCATTCCGGTCTTGGCCAAAAGTAGCAAAATGAGCAAAAGTTTAGTGAATTAAGTGCATCGGAGAATGGCAGCCCGTGACGGTCCCGGGGAGTGGTCGGCGACAGCTCAAAGGTCACGGGGTCCCGGGACAAACTTTCCATTGATTTTAGCAGCCACAAGCAGAGTGCAAGATTTCAGGGGAGATTTCAAGCCATAGTATGCCCTGAGTTTAGAGGATACTTAGTCGATCATCAGCCCACATTGATTCGGATACGGACTGAGAATGAATTTCGTTTTGTCGCGGCGAGTGCTGCGGATGGGCGGCTGCCAGGTGCTGGAACCAAACATATATAATGTCCGCCAACTGCTGAAGACCTTCGACACGATCGTCTACGCCGCGGATGGGGTGCTGTGGCGCCACGATCAGGCACTCACGGGAGCTGCCGATACGTTCAATGCCCTGCGGGCGATGGGCAAGAATTCGTTCATCTGCACCAACAACTCGGAGGCCTCGTGCCGGGCCCTGAGCAAGAAGGCAGACAGCATGGGCTTCCTGATAGCCGAGAACGAGATCCTCTCCTCGGCGCAGGCTCTGGCCCGCTATATGCGAGAGCGGAAGTTCAATCGCAAGGTCTACATCGTGGGTGGCCAGGGCATCAAGGACGAGCTGCGGCAGGTCGGGATCGAGAGTCTGCCGCTGGACTTGGCCTCCACGCAGGAGAACTCCATGGTGGACCAGGTGCAAAAAATGTACTTAGATGCGAATGTGGGCGCCGTGGCCGTCGGCATGGACTTGGGCCTCAATGTGCTGAAGCTGACCAAGGCCAGCATATACCTCCGGGACCCAAAGACCCTCTTTTTGGCCACCAATCGCGATCGCGCCTTTCCAGTGGCTGCCGACCGTCAAGTGCCCGGGGCGGGAGTCGTGGTGGCTGCCATACAGGCGGTGGCGAAGCGGGCCCCGTTCACCTGCGGCAAGCCCAGTCCCTATGTCTGCTCCCATCTGATACGTCAGGGTGTCATCGAGCCGGAACGCACCCTGCTGGTGGGCGACACGTGAGTTTCTCACTCCTATATGGTATTTTCGCTTACTTTCATGCCTTTCCCCCCCCCCGCCCAGCATGTACACGGATATGCAGTTCGGCTACAACTGCGGCTTTCACACTCTACTGGTGGGCACTGGCGTCAGCAGTCTCCAGGATGTCCGCCATGCCCTGGCCTCTAAGCAGGCCTTTGCGTACCAGCAGATACCAGACCTGCATCTGCACAGGCTCTCGGACTTGCTGCCATTCATACCCTCCCGAAACTATTAAGGCCCCTACACCTGACACCTTACCCCTTACACCTTACCCCTTAGACTACATTCATTACTTTAGACAGACAGATAGACACCACGCTCTTACGGCAGTACTTTTGATACCCCTCGCTGTGGGGGGAATGTATAATTGATTGATAATTAAATTTATGTGGCACTGGCGCGCCCTTTAGGGGGGATCCCGAGAAGGGTCCTGAGAGCGGTTAATACGATGTGTACCTATTATTTCTCGGTGCTGGGCTTGCTCTGTTCAAACAGTGCTTTTTGATTGGATCTGAGATCTTGGTTTCTGAGAAAACTCACAATCTAGTACTGGCTGTGTGGAATGTCAATTGTGGTTTGACTGTTTTATTGTTGTTTCAAAATATCACCTACGAGCAGTTGTAGTCCCGTGCTGAGCCATGTTCAAGCGTACCTGCACGGATCTGACCAAAATACCCAAGGAGAAGGTGCGCCAGTGGCTGACCACAATCGAATCGGTGATATTCGATGCCGACGGTGTTCTGTGGCACCTGAACCGGCCGATCAATGGGGCAGTGGAGACCTTTAATATGATCAAGAGCTCGGGCAGGCAGGTGCTGGTGGCGACCAACCATTCGGGTCTGCTCACCAAGGATCTGGCCGCGAAGGCGCACCAGTTCGGCTACGAGATCCAGGAAGAGCAGATACTGAGCACGGCGCTGTCCGTGGCCACGTTCCTCAGCGCGAAGGGGTTCAAAAAGAAGGCGTACATCGTCGGGGAGTCGGCCATTGTCGATGAGCTGGCCAAGGAGAACATCTGCAGCTTCTCTGTGGGCAAGGAGAAGCTGCTCAAGCCCATGGAACAGTTTGCCAAGGATATGTACCTGGATCACGAGGTGGGCGCCGTGATAATCGGCAAGGATGAGAGCTTCAATGTGCCGAAGATAATCAGGGCCAGTTTGTACCTCCAGGAGCCGAAGGTCCTCTTCCTGGGCACCTGTCTGGACACCGCCTATCCGGTGGGCAAAAACCGGATGATTGTGGGCGCCGGTGCCATGGTGGCCGCCGTGAAGGCCATCACTGGCCGAATGCCGCTGATTTTGGGCAAGCCGAATCCCCTGATGGTGGAGCAGCTGCTGCAATGCGGCGTCCTCAAGCGGGAGTCCACGCTGATGGTTGGCGACACGTAAGTGGTCCGTCCTCCTGCCCCACCTGCTCTTACCTCACCCGCCTATTCCAGTCTCTACACGGACATTCTGTTCGCCAGCAACTGCGACTTCCAATCGCTTTTCGTGGGCACCGGCGTCAGCATCTTGAAAGAGGTGCGCCAGATTTGCAATGACGAAGGACACAGCAAAGTGGACATGATCCCAGACACCTATCTGCCCTCTCTGGGACACTTGCGGGAGTTCCTCTGCTAGATCTGTCGATCATGAACACAACACATGAATGCATGCCCATCCATCTCGTACACCTTCTAAATGTAATGCTTCCGGTAATCACCGGATAGCACTCACGGGACACTGTCGAACTAAGAATTATTACGGGGCCGGGGCACCTAGGCAATCGCCGGATAGTACTCACGGGACACTTTCGAACTAAGAATTGCTACGGGGATCGGGGATATCGACAAGCATCGCCGAGGGTGCCTAGGCAATCGCCGGATAGCACTCACGGGACACTGTCGAACTAATAATTGCTACGGGGGTCGGAGACAGGGTTAGAGAGAGACAGGGCGGAGAAAAAATGAAATTGTTTTCTTGATGCTGGCTATAATAATAATACGATCCAATTCAGATTCTGCAGTCTAAAAGATATGGTCATTCTCTACGTTTCTGCGTTTTTGGTTTCTCGTATCGTCGAAATTGTGGATGCCACAGATTTTCGTCCTTTGTGGAGGCGGAAGTGGGCGGGGCAAAGTTTTGAAATATTTTTGTAGCAGTGACATATCACAGAAGTCTGGATCCAAAACATCGTTGCTCTAGCTCTTATAGTCTTTGAGCATTAGGCGCTGAAGGGGACGGACAGACGGACAGACGGACGGACGGACAGACGGACAGACGGACAGACAGACATGGCTTAATCGACTCGGCTATTGATGCTGATCAAGAATATATATACTTTATGGGGTCGGAAACGATTCCTTCTGGACGTTACACACATCCATTTTCACCACAAATCTAATATACCCCAATACTCATTTTGAGTATCGGGTATAACGAGTAGCAGGGGAATCGGGACTGTACTATGCCAGTCGGAACCATTAGGCCAATAATAGCTGTATATCTCTGTAAAACCGCCCGTGAGGTCGACCATTATTCACGTACAGCCGAGGCTGGCTTCCCTAACCTCCCTAGCCATAGCGTAAACACGTGGCCGCCGCGCCCACACGAGGAGGAGAGCGCCGCGGCAAGACGGCAGAGAAAGGGAACCGAGCCGAAGCTGGGTAGAAATCGCTGGAGAGAGAGCGACACGGGCGCGGCGAGCAGCGCGTCGTGAGCGGTAGAGGCCGAGTGAGCGTCGGAATCCTCCCGAAGACCAACCAGCCCGGCTATATATTTCGTACCCAGACCCAGAAGAGGATAGCAAATGCCCGGCCCTCGGCGCGAGCAGTCATTCAATGAACGGTCTTCAGCGCGGTCAAAACGGTCAAAATAGCCGAGAGTAAACGCCCGACCTTCAATGTGATCAGTCAGCGGATCCCACTTTGGGTGTCCCACCCCAAGCGTGATTTAAGTGGGGGGGATTATGTAGTGCGCTTGTTGTAAGAAAAAAAATTGTTTGCATCGACGTCTTAATTTTCCCTAAAATTATGCTACGCGAATAGGCTAAGTCTTCTGTTGGGTTCAAGAAAGCTAAGCTTTTAACACGCCATATTATTTATTATATTATTTCTTTTGGCTGACGTTTTAATCGGCCTCTTCCTCCCACTGTCATTTTGACAAATCGGAAAGAAAAAGGGAAGAACGATGGAATGAGGCCTTGATTTCCGGGAAAAGCAGCTCGCTCTCTCCTCATGGTATCCGAACAGTACGGACGTACTTATCCAGCTCTCAAGAAAAAAATTTAATAAAAGTTAAAAATCAAATAAAAGTTCTCCGTAGATCAGCACGATCCGCCGGCCTTTCGAAAGCAAGACCCCATCCACCCAGTAGAGAAATCAATCCCCCATCCACTGTGCAGAGGATGGTGCAGTTTTTTCCGACGATCGCCCCAAAGCGGGCCACCGTAGAGTTGGGACGCTCCCCCCAACGCCCCAACGCCCTCCACCAAAGCGGTCCACCGTAGAGTTGGGAAACTCCACCTAAAGCCCCAACGCCATCCACCACATCGAGCCCTTCAGCAGTTCCCGAGATTCAGCGCCGGCAGAGAGCGGCCCCTCAGCCGTTTCCGAGCTTTAGCGCCGGCAGCAGCGAGCTCTTCGCCGCCCCAACGCGAGTCGTCGCGACCGAGAGTGGTCCATCCAGCCACCGGGCCAAGAGCCCTAAACAAAAAGTGCCAAGTGATCTTCCTTGCTAATGACAAGGAATAACCAGACTCGTCCAATAAAAAAGAGACCCTGACCCGAATTTTTTTGTCACCGTGCTTCGCCCTAACCTAAAAGTCAGATCATGGCATGTGCAGGTTAAGTGTATTAAATAAACCCCAACGGAACGGGCAGAACTCGTATGAACCTCTTTGTGGCCCATTGTGCATTTACTCCCAAAGAACATATATGCGCTTGTTAGGCCGTTGCCCCTTTTGCCCGTGAAACGAAACCAGCTGCTTGGAGCTTTTTCCGTGCGCCTACACCTTGGTCTATGTATCAAGACCTACCCCCATCGAACCTGAATAAACGAATATATATTGAATAAAGAATAATATATAGAAGTTAAATATGGAATAATTTGATTTATGCACTATATATGCCCAAAAAAAAGTCCCTAAACAAAAAGAAAAAGAAAAGAAGATCAAGATAATCCGGTGTTAGCCGTGGTCATGCGTGTCCATATGTGTGTGCTCTCTCTCTAAAACTTACAGGTATATTAGAAGAGTTTTTCTAATCAGTTACCGAAAACTTTGGGTGGCTGTAATTTAAATTATTTATTTGGCGGGGCGAAAAACTTGATACGCTCGATCTATTTCAAGGTTGGCGAACAACTATATTTTCTTCACAATTCAAATCTCTTACTCCAGCTATCCTACGGTGGCAAAGCGGGGCGAATTCGCCAAGAGCGAGAGAGCGAGCTTTTATTGCGCTCCCGCTTTGCCCTAGCCTAACTTACACTAGACTTCATAATTCATAATTCATAATTCATAATTCCATCTATAACTAATAATTGTGGCCATGGATGGAAGGTCACGCAACACCGGCCCCGTTGAACGCCTGCATCGGCTTCAACACATTGGGAGCGGCGCTAATTTATGTATGGGCCGCCGAAAAACCGCTCCAGTGCTAGTCCTTATTTCGACGACCCTGACCATGCCGTCCTCTCCTGCGTGCGTGGCTATGACCCTCCCTACGATCCACTCCTGAGGCGGCAGATTGTCCTCGGCCACGATGGCGAGGTCTCCTTCCTCGAGGTTCGGTTGCTGCTGGTGCCATTTGCTCCGAATTTGCAGCCCCAGGACATATTCGCGGGACCATCGCTGCCAAAACGCTTGCCTGACTGACGAGACAAGTCGCCATCGCCGCAAGCAACTGAGACTCTCCTGGTCCGGAGTCCGCAGTGCTGGGGGGGCGATGAGCGACCCGCCTGTCAGCAGGTGCCCGGGTGTTAGGGCCTCGCCGTCGCTTGGATCTTGGCTGATGGCTCCCAGCGGCCTCGAGTTCATTATGGCCTCGATGCCGACGAGGACTGTGGCGAGCTCTTCGGCGGTTAGGAGCGCGCTGCCTACCGCCCGTAGGAGTAGGCTCTTGGCAGTTTTTACACCTGCCTCCCATAGCCCTCCCATGTGAGGAGCTCGCGGCGGTATGAACGCAAATTCGCATCCGTTTTTTGACGCAAAGTCGCGAATTGCGTCTCCCTGCTCCTTGAGCCTGATCCGCAGAGTGCTGAGATGGCGGCTCGCTCCGACGAAGTTCGTCCCGTTGTCGCAATGAACGACTTGGGGATATCCTCGGCGCCCGACGAACCTTTGAAAAGCCAACAAAAAACAATCAGTGGTTAGATCGGAAACTATTTCTAGGTGAACCGCCTTGGACGCAAAAAAAACAAAAAGCGCAATGTATGACTTGTATGGGGGCCTTCCGC